TTGTTAAAATTAAAATTAGATGATTTACTTGGTATAACGATAGATTACATGGTCTTAATGAACAGACTAAATCATTAACGTCCTACGAAAACTACATAAAAATTATTGATTTGTGAAAATTTGCTTTTAGAAAATACTCCGATTAACGTGTTCGTTCGTTCGTTTGCAATGATGTGTAATAAATCCACTCGGAATACTTTTAATCGCTCATAAATTAATTTATTTTTCATTGATTAAGTCGATTATTTACACATTTCGGGAAGTTCATGTAACTTGCCTCAAGGCGAAATACCAACACCAACTAGTTTCCAAATTTGTTCGACAGTCAAGCCCTTCTAAGTTGAGATATTTTTAAGCCTTTTTCTGAATTATTATTTTAATTTGCTCGTCAGTAGAATTTCCTTATTTAAAATGACACGATTTCCGAATTTGTTCGTCAGTAGAGTCCCTTTTAAATTGATATTTCAGCCTTCTCTGAATTTGCTTTTCAGCAGAGCTATTTTCAAAAAAAAAAAAAAAATCAGTGTCTTTTCTCAAAAATGACAATTTATACAAAAACTAAGTTTTTTTTAAGTTTTTCTTATGAGTAGTGTCCTTTTTTAATGATATTTTAAATTTAATATTTACTTTCCGAATCATTCTTCCGACATATTTGTTTTAGACTTTGCCCCTCAGTAGAGTCCTTATGTATCATATCTCTATTTAGTCTGCTCTAAATTGCCATTTAGTTTATTCGGCAGTAGAATGTCCTTAAATGACATTTTACACAAAAACGTTTAAACGACAGTAAAGTTCTTTTTATAATATCATTTTATTAATAACTTCTATATTTGCTCGTCAGTAGAATTCTTTTCCGTATATTGATGTTTTATTTCACTAATAATTTCCTAATTTGCTCGTCAGTAGAATTCTTTTCCGTATATTGATGTTTTATTTCACTAATAATTTCCTAATTTGCTCGTCAGTAGAGTCCATTTCTTATATTCCAGATTGTTAATTTATTTACCCGTCAGTAGAGTCCTTTTTACATTCTTGATCAAATTTAAATTTTCTTGTCAGTAGGGTCTCTTTCACATATTCTAAGTTTCTATTTAATTTACTCGTCAATAGAGTAATTTTTTCTAAAATGATCTATTTTAGATTTTTCGAATAAGTTTGCTCCTTAGAGTTGTTTTTTTAGAAAAAAATCAGTTGTCAGTAGTGTCCTTTCTTCCTCAGAAGACATTTTCGACAATCCGTAACCAAATGAATTTCTTAAGTTCTTTTTTTTAAACTAACATGTTCTGAATTTGCTTATAAATAGAGTTCTTTTTCTCTTAAATGATATTTTATTAATAATTGTATTTGCTTGTCAGTACAGTCCCTTTATATTTAAGATTGCTATTCATTTTTTTTTTCGTTCCTTTTTCAAAATTTAGAATCAAATTAATTTCGCTCATCAGTAGAGTTCTTTTATATCTTGAACAAAATTTCACTAGTAAACTTGTTAGTTTCTGTCTTAAATGTAATTTTAGGAAAAATGGCTCAATTGAAAACAATGTAAAAAGAACTCTACTAACCATCAAACCACGGAAAAAATGTCAAAGGAACTCTACTGACGAGCAAAATCTGAATACTTAGAAAAAAGAACTCTTCCAACGAGTAAAAAAAAAGGAAAATGAACTCTACTAACGAGCAAACTAAGAAAAAAAATTTACTGACGAGCAAAACTTGAAATTATTATAAGAATATCATATTAGATAACACAGCAGTTCTACTGACGAATAAATTAGATTTAATTAAAAAAGAACTCTACTGAGGAGCGAATAACATTTTAGAAACAGGAATTCTTCGTACAAGCAAACCAAGTCGTGCATTTCAAAGGAAAAAAACTTTACTGACGAATAAAATAAATGTGCTCGGTGTAAGTGGCATTGTCATTAAAAAAAGTTAAAATAGAACTCTACTGACAGGCAAACCTGGAAAGAAGCTTTAGTAGAAGGAACTCTAGTGACGAGCAAACTAACAAAAAAAATGGGAAGGAATTATCTTGAACAAAAGAGGAAGGAACTCTACTGACGAGTAAACTAAATAAAAACTTAGAATATGAAACAGGGACTGTACTGACGAGCAAACTTATGTTTATGTTTATGAAAAGGACTCAACTGACGAGAAAGTTTAATTTTCATCAATGTAAAAAGGACTCTACTGACGAGCAAATTGGGAAATTTTTTAGACAAAACAAACTCTACTGCAAAAGTGAAATTAATACAATTGTCTAGATTTAGCTCGTCAGTGGAGTTCTTTTTTATTTTTATGAATTTTGCAAATACTGCAACTTACTCTATAAAAATGTAAAAGAAACTCTACTGACGAGCAAAATCTGAAAACTTAGAAATAAGAACTGTACTGAATTTTGAAATTATTAGTAAAATTTTTGAAGTAAAACTTCTTTAGGCGCGTATAGTAAATCTGTGAAAATGCTACGGAAGGCCGTTTCGCCCGAACTGCTTATCATTTGCTATTGATGATATCAATATTATACGGGTCGATTGTTATTAGTCGCCGTGTCACGTGAGCGTCTTTTGCCAGTGTTTGTGAAATTATTCTAGATTGTTCAATTACATCTGTCCACTGTGTGAACGAATGATATTATAGAATTTATTAATCAGCAATCACTTCATTTCTCTAATGCAATTTCTGTTGTAAGGTTCAAGCCCTAAATACTAATTACAATGACAAATCGATCATGTCGTATTTGAAGTGTGACTTTAATTACATTATTGTTTTCAAATATTTTAATGCCATTATAAATAAAAACATTCTTGCATTCTCCTTATTTTTTCCAGTAACTCGATCAACAAAGCCCTAAAGACCCTCCAAGTAAAAAACCAAGGCGAACTAGGAAACCAGCGCCTCCTAATGTTCCATTGCGCAAAACGAGTATTGAATCAAGGAATGAGGATATTAGGGTTGCAGCCCTTAGAAAAAATGTAGAAATATAATTGATAATTGTAATAGAATTTGTATTATTTTGTATATTAGTAAATTTATTATTATAGTTGTTGTTTGTTTATATCTATCTACTGCCACTACTTTATAATAATAGCGGTCTGCCTTAGCGTTTCTTCCAAGTGAACTTCCTTCTCATTGATAATTTAATTTACCACAAATTCCTCGAATATTGCAATAAATTTGGACGAACGGTTCAAAAGTTACAAGAGATGTAACGAAAGTGGACCGATGGGTTGCAGGAACTTAAATAGTACAACAGATAAAGATGTTGTGACATCAAATATGGCATGCGGGGTATCAAATGAAAGGTCTCGACGAGAACTATACAAACATCATGATAACTAACTGATCAAAACACAAGGATTCCATATATAAATTAATATTATCTTTATATTTTTGCCAATTAAAATATATCAAGTTGCTCTAGAGCTATTACTATATTAAAAGAAATTATAGATTAATAAATTTAGCACGAAATCGCCGAATGTCCCATGCATTTTGGACAAACGGTACAAAAGTTACACGAGATGTAACAAAAGCGGACCATTGGGTTGCCGAACTATGTATAGTACAGTTGATAAATATGTTGTGACGTCACATATGGCATGTGGGGTATCAAATGAAAGGTCTCAACGAGCACTAACTAAATATCATACTTACAGAGTGAAATCATTCATTCCATTACTATTGTCATATAAATATTAATTTTTAATCAAAATATTTGAATGTATTATATAAATCGCTTAATACAAATAGTTCACCGAATATTCCATTTATCTCAGATGAACGGTTCCAAAGTTACAAGAGATATAAGAAAAAGTAGACCAATGGGTTGCCAAAATATGAGTTAAAAAGTTTTACTTCAAATATAGGCACATGTGGGGTATTAAATAAAAGGTCTCAATACACTCTATACAAATATCATAATTATGCACTGTAAAATCAAAAAAGTTTCGTATAAATCAATTAATTATAGAATTTTTAATATCAATTATCTTAATTTTGATGCATACCGACTTGTAGGCTTTCTATATTCATATATATATTATATAAATCTTTGTATTTAAGACAAATTTGTCGAATATTTCATCCGTTTCGGACGTACGGTTTAAAAGTTACAAGAGATGTAACAAAAGTGGACCAATGGGTTGCCGAACTATAAACAGTACAGTGGGTCAAGATATTGTGACGTCAAATATGGCATGTGGGGTATCAAATGAAAGGTCTCAACGAGCACTAACTAAATATACTTACAGACTGAAATCATTCATTCCATTACTATTGTCATATAAATGTTAATGTTTAATCAAAATATTTGATTGTATTATATAAGTCGCTTAATTTAGAACAAATTCACCGAATATTCCATTTATCTCAGACAAACGGTTCGAAAGTTACAAGAGATGTAACAAAAGTAGACCAATGGGTTGCAGGAACTTAAATAGTACAATAGATAAAGATGTTGTGATGCTACATATAGCATGTGGGGTATCAAATGAAAGGTCTCAATGAACTCTATACAAATATCATAATTATGCACAAAATCAAAAAAGTTTCGTACCGATCAATTAATTACCGAATTTTCAATATCAAGTATCTTTATTTTAATGTACACCGACTTGTAGGCTTTCTATATTCGTATATATTATATAAATCTTTGTTAAGACAACTTTGTCGAATATTTCATTCGTTTTGGACGTACGGTTTAAAAGTTACAAGAGATGTAACAAAAGCGGACCAATGGGTTGCCGAACTATATAAAGTACAGTGGGTCAAGATATTATGGCGTCAAATATGGCATGTGGGGTATCAAATGAAAGGTCTCGACAAGCACTATACAAATATCGTTTTGGAAATTTGTAAATAATCAATATATTAATTTAAGAGTCAATTCTGATAATTGTAATAGACTTTGTATTATTTTGTATATTAGTAAATTTATTAATGTATTTGTCGTTTATATCTATCTATCTATTATCGCCACTACTTTATAATAGTGATCTGCCTTAGCGTTTCTTCCAAGTGAACTTCCTTCTCGCTCCCTCCTGTCCGGGCTTCTTTCTCTCTTTCCTTCTGTAGTCTCTGGTGAGCAGGCCGGCTGCAATGGAAAAGGATAGAAGATAGAGTTTTACAGTGAGAGTGAAAGAGACATGAGATAGAGAGACATGAGATGACAATAGATGTAATGAAAGAGACAAAGTATAAAGTATAAAGTACAATAAATATTTTGAATAAATTTTGAATGAATGAAAATGAATGAATTTTATGTATGATGCAAAATTGAAATTATAATTTAAGAATAAAAAAGTGAACTCTACTGACTAAGTGAATTCAAGAAAAATGAGAAAAAAGTGAACTCTACTGACTAAGTGAATTCAAGAAAAATGAGAAAAAAGGACTCTACTGACAAGCGAATCCCGAAAAAATGAAAAAAGACTACTGATGAGCTAATTAGAAAAATATGAGAAAAAAACGCTACTGACGAGCAAATTTTTTAAAATCTCTACTGACGAGCAAAGAAAACTCTGCTGATGAGCTAATTCAAAAAAAAATAATAATAAAAAAAAACTCTACTGACGAGCAAATTAAAGAAAATAAGAAATGATACTGTACTGATGAGCGAATTTAAAAATAAGAAAAAAGAACTCTACTGACAAGCAAATTCAGAATATAAGTAAGAAAAAATAAAGACTCTACTGACAAGTTAATTTAGAAACAAATAAGAAAAATTAGGACTCTACTGACGAGCAAATTAAAAAATTAAAAATAAATTCTATTGATGAGCAAATTTAAGAAAATTAAAAATGGGACTCTACTGACGAACAAAATTTAAAAAAAATGCGAAAAAGGACTCTTCTTATTAGCAAATTTAAAAAATTAGAATAATAAAACTCTATTGACGAGCAAATTCAGGAACAAAGAACTCTATTGAAGTTCAAATTTTAAAAAATTAGAAAAAGAACTCTACTGACAACCAAATTAATAAATAAGAAAAATAAGGACTCTACTGATGAGCAACTTAAAAAAAGAAATAGAGAACTCTACTGACGAGCAAATTCAAAAATTGTTTTTTTGAAAAGATAAAAAACTTCACTGACGTGCAAAATAAAAAAAAGAGAAAGAAGGAACTCTACTGACAAGAAAATTTAAAAATAAGAAAAAAGTATTTCTACTGGCAAGCAAATTAGAAAAAAATAAGAAGGAACTCTACTGACTAGCAAATTAATAAAAAAGAAAATAAGGACTCTACTGGCGAACCAATCCAGATAAAAATATGAAAAAGTGAGCAAATTAAAAAAACAAAATAAGAAGAAAAGAACTCTACTGACAAGCGAATCTTTTGACTATGTGGGAGCATTTTTTCAATTTTGTGAAAATTATTGAAAAAAAGCCTATAAAAACACAGTGTAAGTTGCAACCTAGTTCAAATATATTCGCAAGGGCGTTTAGAGCAAACTAAAAACAAAAGGAAAGTGGACTCTGCTGACGAGCAAACTTTATTTAAATCTAGAACCCTACTTCGGAAATTTAATTTGTTCTTTGGTAAAGTTTCTTTTCTCATTATTGAATTTTGTCATATTTCACCTACATATGTTGATTCACAATCGGAGCGTTTAGTTTAGTAGTCTAAATTTGTAAGACATCTTTTGCAAAATTTTATTTTAGTTTACAATTCATTTTATCTACAAAAAAATCTTTTTTTGTATTCGTTTTTTAAACACTTAGATTGTTATTATGACTGGGGAGTGTTTTAAATTAGTTATTTTATTTACTTAGTTTATTACAGGTTATTTACTTAATCGTGGTGTTTTGTGCTTTAATTTATCACTGAAGGCTGGTAGAAATTAAGGGATATCAAATGTATTTGTAAAAAAAAAAATCTTATTGCAATAACGCACCCCCCCTCACCGATTATACAAACAGAAGATATATATATATATATATATATACATAAATATATACATATTATACACATGTGTATATCTATTTAAATAAACTAAATCTTAAATGAATGTCACCTTAAAGCTAAAGCGGCTATCAGAGCAGCGAATAAGGACACGACCAGTTCAAATATATAATATATACATGTATATATATATATATAATATATATATATATATATACATTTAGATACATTATTATCAAATCATAATAAACTATTTTGTAGTTAAACGTTTACGTGTGTAAGTTTGGACTTGGTTCGAAACGACATAGGAGCACGAGTCGCAAAATATACAGTATACTATTATAATTTATATAGAATTTATATATAATAATAAATATATAAATTTATAAATATATAAATATAAATATAGAGATAAGGAAGAGAGAGAAAGAGAACAAAGTTAAAATAAAACGATAGAGAGAATTGGTAAGATAAAGTAAAAGAAAGAGAAGTTGGTATTTAGAGAAAAAAGAGAAGAGATAGAAAGACAAAAGAAATATGAGATAGAAATAGAGATATAGAAAGAGAAAAAGGAGAAAGATAGAGAAAAGAAAATAAATATATAGAGATAGACCTAGAGAGAGAGAGAGAGAAAGAAAAAAATAGATAGAAATATAAACTAGCAGTGCATGGCATCGTGCCTTAAGGCAAATTGCAGGAACTTCCCGTACCAAAAATAACGATGAAAAAATGTAATTTTTGTGTAGATTGACTTTTACAAAGAATCTATTTTTATATGTTTTTTTTAATTCAGAATTTTGTTTTCTGAAAATATCTGATAATTTGATGTGCATATGCCTAATGATAGCATTTTTATTACATTTTTAAGCAGAAAATAATAGAATTAGACAAATAGATAGATGTGTCAAATAGAAAAAAGAAGATGAGTTGATATTTAGAGAGAAATAAGGACCACAAGATAGAAATTGATAAATAAAGAGAGAGAGAGAGAAGGTGGAAAAAAATAGAAAAAAATTATAAATGGATAGAGATATAAAGATAAAAAAGAGAGAAAAATATAATTAAATTGCTCCTTTTTTTTTTATTAACATAACATTTCGTCAAATTTTTATGAATTTGCTCGTCACTAGAATTATTTTTTCTAATTTTACTGATTTCCATCATTAGTAGAGTTCTTTTTCTGGTTTAAAATGATATTTTGCTAGTGATTTGTAAATTTACTCATCAGTAGAGTTCATTTTCCTAATTTTTCTGATTTTGATCATCAGTAGAGTTCTTTTCCCTTATTTTTCTGATTTAGATCTTCAATAAAGTTTTTTTTAATTTATCCGATTTAGATTTTGAGTTCTTTTTTCGGAATTAGCTCGTCGGTGGAGTGCTTTTTACTAATTTTTATGATTTTGCTTGTCAGTAGAGTCCTTTTTTTCTTAAATGACACTCTAGAAAAAAACTAATAAGTCAGCAAAGTTCTTTTTTATAAGCACAGTCTAAGTTACAACCACGAACAAATCTATTCGCAAGTGTGTTTAGATTGTGACCTTACCTTTTTCAATTTTTGGAAAATTATTGAAAAATGTAAAAATGAACCAATATAAGCACAGTCTTAATTAGATTTAGGCATAAAAATATTTGTTTAGATTGTGACCGAGAACACTTTTTAATTTTTTTTGCAAATTATTAAGAATTATTTTTCTCGTAAAAAATGAGAAAAATGTAAAAAATGACGCAGTATAAGTAAGCACAGTCTAAGTGACAACCTGGCACAAAAATATTTGAAAATTCGGTTAGGCTGTAACTGTATAGAGCACTTTTCAAATTTTGTTGTAAATTATACAAAACTTTTTTTTCTTGTGAAAAAAGAGAAAAATGTGAAAAACGACGTAATATAAGCACAGTCTAAGTAACAACCTGGCACAAAAATATTTGAAAATTCGTTTAGACTGTGACCGTACAGAGTATTTTTTAAACTTTGCATAAATTATTGAGATTTTTTTCAAGCAAATGTTTTTGAACGCGATTTTAAAGTATACCGAGTTGCTATATGACATTATGATGTTAGACAATATTGTTTAGAATTTAATTTTGCACAAACTTCTCATACACATAATTCATACTAAACGAATGGTTTTAAAGTTACAACAAATTTAATAAATAAATGGCACCGCAAGTATGTTACCATAAAATTACTCTATAAGTTAAAGATTCAATAAGAATTTGTAGTAAAGATTTGTAAGAATGGCATCTGGCAGTGGCGTCGGAACCGTGTGGACTGTGTGGACTTGAATTTGGGGGCTCAGCCCACCAATCAATTTCAAAAAATTATATGGGCTAATATCTCTAAAAAAAACGAGACCACTGGCTGTCTATCAAAAAATAAAAAAAAAACGAGCCCACCCATCAAAAATTTGGTTCCGACGCCACTGGCATCTGGCCTTATGACGTATATCAAGAGCCAATAAATAAATAAAAAAAAAGTATGTTACCACATAGTGCTGTCAAATTGTAGATCGATCGAGAGAGAAAAAGGTTGATATAGATAAATAAAGAAAAAGATAAAAGTATATACATAAAGAAAATAAGCATAAAGTGACCCTAAAATGACTTACACTACAAACACTAAACTTACACTAAAAAATTGTTTTTTTTTCTTTTTTTTTTAAAGATTTATATAATTTATAAATATTATTTACTTACCCAATCTCATCTTCTCAATCGTCTCCTGATCAACGAAGCTCCTCAGGCCCCATGCGATGCCCCAACGGATGGCCCCGGCCTGGCCAGAAGGGCCGCCGCCCTCCACATTAGCTTCAATGTCTACTTTGCCGTTCATTCCGGTGAAAATTAAAGGAAAGAGCAGCTGAAAGAAAAAAATAAAGGATGAAAATTAACCCTTTGACTCGGATGCCGCCGCTCCGGCGGCAAAATACATATAAGTCTCGCAATTTGCGAGTGGAAAGGGTTAATAATGTTGAAGGTCGTTTTTAGTTGTTACATATTTGACAACGTTGCATTTGAAACAAGCAGCAGATGAATTACATCTGACAACAACGTATAAAGTAAATAATCAGGTATAAGAAGTTTATAGAAAAAAAAGTTTTTTATAAATTTTTAGATTAACATATATAGTTTCAAACTATCTAGAATTTTTTTGAAGTATCTAAAACATTTTTAAACAATCCAGAACATTTTTTAATCCATCTAGAACATTTTTAAACTATCTAGAACACATTTTTAAACCACATTTGGACCACCTAAAACATTTTTAAACCATCTAGTACACTTTTAAACTACCCAGAACATATTTCTAAACCTTCTTTGTATCATCTACAATATTTTTAAACTATTTAGAAGATTTCTAGACCACCTAGAACAATTTAAACTACCCAGAACACATTTTTAAACCTTCTTTATACCACCTAGAACATTTCTAAACTATGAAGAACATTTTTAAACCATCTTTGGATCATCTAGAACATTTTTAACACTCTAGAATATTTTTAAACCATCCAGAACATTGTTAAATCGTCTTTGGATCATCTACAACATTTTTAACTATCTAGAACATTTTTAAACCATCCAGAACTTTTTGAGACCATCTAGGACATTTTTAATCAACATTTTAAACCACCCAGAATAATTTTAAACTACCTAGACCACACGTTTAAAACCAATCTTTGGACCGTCATAACATTTTTAAACCATCTAGAAACATCGAGAAAATTTTTGAACTGTCTAGAACATTATTAATCCATCTAGAACAATTTTGAACTATCTAGAACATTTTTAAACCACCTGTGGACCGCCTAGAACATTTTTAAATTATCTAGAATATTTTTAAACTATTTAGAACACTTTTAATTGATCTTTTGATCATCTAGATTTTTAATCCAACTAGAAATGTTTAAATATCTAGAATATTTCTTAACTATCTAGAACGCTTTTAATCCAAAGAGAATTTTTTTGTATTGTCTAAAATGTTTTTAAACCATCATCTAGAACATTTGTATACCAACTACAACATTTTTAAACTATCTAGAATATTTTTAAATCATCTAGAATATTTCTGAAGTATCTAGAACATTTTTAAATTATCTGGAACTTTTTTAAACCAACTACCTAGAACATATTTGCAAACCACGTTTTGTCCATCTAAAACATTTTTAAGCCATCTTTGGACCTTCTAGAACATTTTTAAACTACGTAGAACTTTTTTAAACCATCTTTGAGACATCTAGAACATTTTTATAGAAACTAGAACATTTTTAGAAAATCTAAAATATTTCTGAACTATCTAGAACATTTTTAAATTATATAGAACACTTTTAAACTATCTAGAACATTTTAAAATTATCTTTGGACTATCGAGAATATTTTTAAACCGTCTAGAACGTTTTTAAACTATCTTTGGATCATCTAGTACATTTTCAACTATCTAGAACATTTTTAAACTATTCGGAACAATTTTAAACTACCCAGAACACATTTTTAAACAAATCTTTGGAACGTCCAGAACATTCTTAAACCATCTAGAATATGTTCAAATCATCTAGAACACTTCTAAACTATCTAGAACACTTTTAATCAAACTACAAATTTTTTAAATTATCTAAAGCGTTTTTAAACTATCCAAAACATTTTTAAACTATCTAGAACATTTTTCACCATCTTTGGCCCTTCTAGAACACTTTTAAACTACCTAGAACTTTTTTAAACTATCTTTTGACCACGTAGAAAATTCTTAAACTACCTAGTACTTTTTAAAACCATCTTTAGACCACCTAGAACACTTTTATAATAACTAGAACATCTTTAGATAATCTATCATTTATTAAAGCTGTCTAGAACATCTTTAAATCATCCTTGAACCATCTAGAACATTTTTAAACCATCTAGAACATTTTCAAACCATCTAGAACATTTTTAGACCATCTAGAACATTTTTAAATCAAGTTTGAATCATCCGGAACATTTTTAAATTATCTAAAACTTTTTTAAACCAGCTAGATCTAGATCATTTTTAAACCGACTAGAACATTTTTAAACCAACTAGAAAAGAAATTTTAAAAACTATATAGAACATTTTTAAACTAACTAGAGCATTTTTAAACTATCTACAATATTTCTAAGCTATCCAGAATATTTTTAAACCAACTAGAACATTTTTAAACTAACTAGAATATTTTTAAACCATCTTGGGACCATCTAGAATATTTTTAAACCACCTAGAATACATTTGTGATCGTCTGCAACATTTTTAAACTATCTAGAACACTTGAAATATTCATACATATATATTATTTATAAATTAAAATACCTCTAAGTATGTTTGTCACATGAAACTTTAATATAAGAATAATGCAAAATCTACATAAAATACTAAAACTAAAACATACATAAATCTTATTAAACTAATATACCATATAACAGAAATATCACAACAAATACATATATAATTATATTTATTTATTTATGGCTTGCGCTTTTTATATAAACATTTAAAATACTAAATAGTTTAACTAATTTTAAGTTTTACACTATTTTTGACAAAAAATTTGTAGGAAAGTAATAAAATACATAATAAATGTATAAATGAGTTGCTGAACTAAACTATAAATAGTACAGTGAGTCAAAGTGAGCTAAAAAGTTTTACTTCAAATATGGCATGTGAGGTATCAAATAAAAGGTCTTTATGAGCATCATCCAAATACCGTATCCACAGTCGTAAAAAAAGTAATAGAGTTTGCTAGACATACAATTTATTCAATTTCTGCTATCGTTTTTTACTATTTTAAAGTATACCCACTTGTTGTAACGCTGTCACGCAAGTCAATATTATTGATAATTTAATTTAGCACAAATTCGTCGAATATCCTATTCATTTTAGACGATTGGTTCAAGAGTTACAGGAGATTTATTTTGAGTAGACCATTGGGTTGCCGAACTATAAATAGTACAGCTGGTAAAGCTGTCACGTCACATGTGGCATGTGGGGTGTCAAATGAAAGGTCTCGATAAGAACTATACAAATATCATACTTATGGACTCAACAAACAATAAAATGTCTTATAAATCATTTATTGAATTTCTAATATCAATTTTTGTCCAAAAACTCTTCGATATTACAAAGCATTTAATTTACCACAAGTTCACCAAATATTTCATATGACCCCGAAAGACTGTTCAAAAGTTACAAGAGATACAATTAAAAGTAGACCAATGGGTTGCACAGTACAGTGGGTAAAGATGTTATCGCTTCAAATAAGGCATGTGGGGTATCGACGAGCTCTAGCCAAATATCATCAATATAATCACAATAAAACAATAGAGCTTTACAAAAAAAATAGTTGAAAAAACATTAAATTTTGAGTTGATATATAACCTGAGGTCAATCATACTAGTGCAGAAAGTATATAAGTTAAAGAAATACATAAATTTTACAGAAATTTTGTATGAAATTATTAGATATATGACATTGCAATATAAATTTATCGAATACGTTTTTAAAAAAAGGGGCCGTTCAAGTATTACGTAAGGGGCGGGGGGGGGGGTTGTTGATTTGCTTTTTTTGGGTTGACATGGGGGACAGGGGAGTCTAAATGATGATTACGTCATAGTAGTATTTTTATTTTTTTACATTAATTGCAAAATGTTCACGTAGCATGGGGTAGGGGGTAAGAGCTTGCTTACATTTGCTGACAAGGGAGATGGGGGGGGGGGTAAATAAATGTAATACATCTGCTTACGTAATACTTGAACGATCCCACATACAAAGTTAATTTTCATAATAAATTTGTGCAAGTATAAATCTTATTATATCTTTTATCTTTAAAATTCCTAAAAACGTATTCTAAATAATGACTAAAAGACTATAAAAAATTACAACTATAATATCTTACACCTAAATCTTACACTAATTCACAAATCATCAACATATTGTCAAAAATGTTCCAGTAAAATACGTCCTGAAGAGTTCTTCAAAAATATTTATTGTCAAATCTATTAAAAACCACAGGATTTTCGAAATTGTCACTAAAACATGCCAAATTTGGCCAAACTTAACCATTCACTAAAATACAGGAACTATTTGGTAAAATCACCAAATATAATTGGGGTCACCAATACACTTCAATTGGTCCTGAATAGTTCTTTATTTTTGTCCTAATATTTGACAAAAATTTGGTTAAATTTACTAAAATCCAACAAAAAAATTAGCCAAGATCACCACCAATTACGGTTGGGGTCACCAATACATTTTAAATAATCTTGAATGGTTCTTTATTTTTGTCTTCATATTTGACAAAAATTTGGTTAAATTTTTGATATAATTTATTTGACAAGCTTTTAATCCCGCTCGTCAGTAGAGTCCCTTCTTCAAAAGCGACACTCCAAAATTATTTTACCAATTTTTAACTTTGCTCGTCAGTAGAGTCCCTTTTCTCCAGACACAATCAAATATTATTTCTTTTACCATTATTTAACGTTGCTCGTCAGTAGAGTCCTTTTAATACCAAACCTCCAAAATTATTTTACAGATTTTTAAGTAGCTCGTCAGTAGAGTTCCTTTTCCCAAAGACACACTTCGATACATTTTTTTTTACAAATTTCTAATGTTGCTCGTTAGTACAGTCCCTTTTCCCAAAGGCACTTTAATACCATTTTTTAAAAATTTACTCGTCAATAGAGTCTCTTTTCTCAAAGAGATAATATTATTTCTCTTACAAAATTCTAATGTTGCTCGTTAGTAGAGTCCTTTTACCCAAAAGCACTTCAATACAATTTTTTATAAATTTTTAACTTTGCTCGTCAGTAGAGTTCCTTTTCTAAGAAGCACTCTTCAATATTATTTCTTTTACAAATTTTTAATGTTTCTCCAAAGACACTTCGATACAGTTTGTTGCATTTTTTTAACGTTGCTCGTCAGTAGAGTCCCTTTGCAAATTTTCTTCTAAATTCTCGTATGCTCGTCAGTAGAGTCCCTTTATTCTAACTTAATTTTCTTTATTTAGTAATAGTAAAAAAATCCTCGAATTCACCAGGTTTTGTCCTGCATTATCCAAGCCCTTGCGTTGTCACCAGATAAATTTTACCAGAAACTGTTACGAAACTAGCTGACTTCCTGTTCTAAAGATTCACCAAAATTAGTACTCAGCATTTGTAAAAAAAAAAACATGATATCATCACGGTTTGTCCTAAATTATCACTTTTTCTTGACCTTATCACTTGCCTTGACTCGCCTTTTCCCATCTTTTATCTTGCCTTGACTCGCCTTTTCCCATCTTTTATCAGAAAATTACTGACTGTAGAACTAAAAAAATATTTGAATTCATCATGTTTTGTTATAAATTATCACTTTTTCTCCTGCCTTGTTAGGCACACACTTGTCCAATGATATTACTTTCTCTTACTTTACTTGTCACCATTTACAATTTACTAGAAAAATGTCTGATTTTTTATGAATCTAGTCGACTAAAGTGTCTAGTGTGTAAGGATTACCAAAATTAGTGCTTAGTACTTACAAAAAAAAATCTATAAAT